ATTGTGATTAGTAGGTTTATTGTGCCAACCTGGCCAATAGGAACATGTAGGATTAAGGTCACAGTTCAATTGGAGGGCAAAGAGATAAATGGCTCTGCAAGACTCACCCCTATCTCTTGCTCTCTAGTGATGAGACCAGCATGAGGCTGGTTTAACTAGTTCTCTGCCTCAACTTATGAGATACACTACCTGTGGGACAGTTAACCCATGGATCATGTCGCTAGAGCTTGAGGTTCCTTTGAGACCTGCTTCACCATGCTTCAGGTGTATACATTGCTTGAGCTTGAGGCTGGTGTATCCTGTCGACTTGTATTGCTTGTTTGAGTTCCCATCTGGGCCTGCTTTGCTAAGCTCCTGAGCTGCTGTTGGTGATCTACCCTGTGGTTTGCTGCCTGTGAACAGACTGCCTGAATTGCCTGAGGGAAGATCCAGCTGTCTGCTTCCTTGCCTAGGACCCAGCAGCCCTTGTAAGTTGAAAGATTTCCAGTATATTAACTGTTCCACGGAAGTGAGTTGAACTGAACCCTCTATACTGCTGTGTGGACTAATTAGCTGTTATATTCCTTCATGCTGTATTAATCTATCCATATGGGTGTATATCAGTATACTCCTAAGTGTCCTGGTTTTCTCTAGAGAACCCTGCCTAACATACCCATTTTCAAATATAATTTTCAGAATGCACAACATGGAATTTTCTACAATCTAAAAACACTGAAATGAATTACACTAAATTGAAACACTGAAGATAGTTAGAAATGATTTCAACGCAATGACCTTCTATAATCCTATTGATCCAATAGAAAAATACTTTATTTACAATATTAAATTGTACATCTGTAAAACATGAATTAGCAAATGTGGGATCAGGGTGGGGAACCTTTTCCTGTCAAGGTCCATTCGGATAGTTGTAACATTTGCTGGTCAGACATTTTATTAACTCACCCCCAACATGAGAGCTGGAATTCCTTCTCTTAGGTGAGGCTGTGATGGCAATTGGTATTTATGACTGATGATGTAAAATCCTTGTTTTAGATCCACCCCCCACCAAGGAACTGCTGGGGCTACTTGTGGACAACCAAACCCCTCATGGGATTTAGGTCCTTGGCTTGGAGGCTTAGGGTCATGATTTCATAGACATCACAGGTCACTGGCCTAATATTATTTTTAACACATTAACAGCTACTTCCAAGTTCATTGGTTAGGGCCTTAAAAGTTTAGAAGTGACCATTCAAAGCACAACAATTAGTCTTTATTTGGAGCTGGAGCAACAGAAAGGAAGGAAATTTAGGGATAAGAGAAAATGGCATATGTGTTTAATTGCCTCCGTGAACAGCTGCCTCTTTGCTATGCGTCCAGAATTGGACGGCGCCTGGCTACCACGACTGTTTTCATCAGATATTCTGTGGGGCAATCCTGATTAAAAGAAGGGAAATTGCAGGACAAAATTTCAATTTCACATAGAATCCAAACTCTATAAATCCATTGAGAGGACAAATGAACACCCAAAACTATTGATCTACTATAATCTTTAAACTTTAAACCAAAAATATCCTGAAATCTTCTTTGAACTAAATAATAATTTAGCTGAATTAGTAAAGAACACTTGCATCAAACCTGCTATGCTCTACATGGCACTAAATGGACAATAGCAACTGGAAAGGTCAGATAAAAAATTGGGGTGGGGTGGGATGAGCAGCGAGTTTATGTTAATGGGGGAAGGCTAATTGAGAAAATAAGAGTGAGAACGTTGTACGGCTTGAAGACAGTAATCAACATCACAGAATTGGACATGCCAGAACTGCAGTGTTCATGTGTGTTTTGCTATGTATATTTTCAACAACAAAAATTTTAAGCCTTAAATTAAAACAAAAAAGATGGGTTGGTCTCGGGGTATATACCTCAGAAAACAGTGGTGTCTGATCCGTTGTCACCAGTGGATTCAGCCGTTTGGGGAAAAGATTGATTCAAATGGCTTAGGGCATCATTGTGCATTGGTCCTTCAAACAAGGAACAAGACAAGAGGCATAGACGACACTGAGCTAGAAAGCAGAGGGTGGCTTCTGAGACACCAACACAGCCATAGGCACACACCTTTGATGACTTGCTCTCCTTAGTCGTTCCCCAAACTCTTCAACTAACCTCTTTGCTGTCCTTTGAACTGCCTCCCCTAACACACCAACAATCCTCCCCTGTCTACTGTCTTCTCCAGAAATTCTGAGTCTACCAAGGATCATAAATAGCAGCTAACATTAATTTATTCCTGAGGTATCATCTCTTTTAAACCAAAGTAATTTTCCTTCTGACTTCCAATTAAACAAAAACAAAGTTCTAAAGACAATATGTACATCCTGAAGTAAGCTTCTATAAACTAACATTTCCTTTTATACCCAGAGAGAAAATAAACTTCTACTTAAAAAAAAAAAATTCCTCAAAGTTCAAAGACAAAAATGTGATCTGGATCCATGTTCATTGCAGCACGATCCACATGAGCAGAGAGGTGAGAACAATCTAAATGCCCATCAAGAGGAGAATGTCTAACCAACTATGGTCCAAATGCACAATGGAATTCTAGGATGCTTTCAAGAATAATGATGGGTATGCAAAACACCTCAGCCCATGGATGAACCAGGAGGCCATCACACTGAGGGAAATTAGTCACAAAAGGGAAGCTATAGTATGAGACCACTATTGTAAAATACGGAGAAAAAATTTCACACTAAAAGGAACATTACCTGATGGTTAGGAGCATAAAAGAAGGGAAGATAAGTTAGTGGCTAAAGAAGAGTGGCCATGTATTAACTTGGGTCAATGGTGTCCGCAGGGCAAGGTACAGGGAGAAGTACAAGAGTTAAAGGTAACCGAGGTAAAGACTGCTATATACACAATCCTGCAATCTCAATGCTTTAGGAATATAGATGCACGGCAGACACATAGGCTGAACAGGCATGGGATGGACAGTAGGAGTGTGTGTGTATATATATATATATTTGTGTGTATAATAACCAAGATTAAAAAAATAAGATAATAAAAACAAATATTCCATATATATGCTTGACAGAGGACATTTGTAAATAAATATTTACTTTTGCTGTACATATATTCCTCAATGTGGTGGAGCAAACAGAACGATGAAATGAAAACTTCTTGGACAAACCAGGCACCTTGGGAGAATGCGTCAAGGTCAATTGACATATCCTTAGTCCACAGAGACAATAACCTACATCCTGCTTTGGTGAGTAGCAACTGGGGTTTCAAAGCTCGTGAGCAGCCATCTGACCTGCAGCTATTGATCTGGAGGAAAGAACATGAAGATTCCTGGAGACAGTCGGCCCATTGGACTAACAGATGGCACGTACATCAAGGTGCATGACCCAGAGACCAGAAGAACTAGATAGTGCGTGGTCGCCACCACCAACTGCTTTGAAAGGGATATTAGAAGGTCCTGGATCGCACGGGAGAAAAATGTGGACCCAAACTCAAAATCATTAAAAAGAGTGACCAGGCTTGCTGGCCAGATAAAGATTGATTTATCAGATGGAGCAGATGGCACTCAGTCACCCTTCAGGTTTGGATGTGAACTCACCTCCATAAACTCAATTTTGTGAGAAGCCATAGAGAGGTCAATGAGGGAATAACACTAGGCAGATGTGTGCACCTTAGAATAGTCAATCCTTTGAGGTTAAATAAAAGGCAGCATTTATCCAAGGGCAAAGTTCAGAAGCATTAGGGAAGGAAGTATGGAGAAAAGAATTTCAGGGAGAAAGTAGCATAGATGGTGTTGTAATTTCTTGAATACAGTCAATGGTATGAATTGTTGAATGGAAATCGGATCTGTTCTTTAAACCTTCACACAATTCACAATAAAATGAACCAAGAGACAGGGAGGAAGTAGTAATTGGCGAAGGGAATGGCAGGGGCTTCCCTACTTAATCTTCGACTTCTTTTTGTTTGATTGCGTCTTTCTTTCTCCCCAGTTATTGGGGGCTCTCACGTCTCTGTTGTTCTACTTCTTAATCTGGATTGGGGGATGCACCGGTGTGTTCGTGATATGACAATGCCCTGAACTCTACTCTTCTATACTTTATCCTTCAATAAAAGAAAATAAAAACAAATTAAAAACACTTCCCTATTGCACCTAAAGCTTAGACTACAAGAAAGGTTGTGTAAACATGAGATATATATGATGGAGGAAAAGGAAAAAAATACATACATGTTCAAGGTTTTCATAACAGTCATGAAATCATCACTCTCAAATATTAAAAGCTGGGGAATTGTCCAATGCAGGAGCAGACACTGTCCTTTATGGAGCTGCCCCTGAAGACAGATGTCGTGGGGCTAGGCAAGGCCCAGAAAGCTGCATTTCAGAAAAGTGCTTCGGTTAAGTCTGATGAAAACATCATGTTTCACCTTGGGGCGGTGAAATTACTTTCCTTTGCTAAAAAGACCTAGAATTGCTCTAAGAACCATATTAGGAGACTCCTGGACCTCTGGTCTACTTATTGCCCAAAGGCCCCCACATAAGAGTGCAAAATATTTTAATCCCAGTAGAAAGAAATCTCAAGTTTTGTTACCTTGCCTTAGTAGGTTTATCAGTTTTGTTGTTGTTGATACTTTTATTCTTATTATTGTAATGTCTTTTTTCCCTAGAAGGTAGCACTGGGGATTCCAACCTGCTTTAATTGCATACTTCCAACACAGCATTTATACATTTTTTGTTACTTACTAAATAATATTTATTGCAAAGAAGAGGAAACTGGTGCTAGAGGTATTGGTGAGCTTTCTAGAACTCAGGTCCTTTTCCAAGTCCAAAAAAAAATCATGCTTCCTGTCTAGCCAATGTTGCTGCCTGGCTGAATGAAGTGATGGGGGCCACACAGGGCATTATCCATTGATGATGTCATTTCCTTAGCACACGATCCAGTCCAGGGTGATTTCAGGAAAGCTTCTGTTTCTGAGCAACTGCACCATGGCGGTAACAACAAGAACGGCAATGAATATTGAAAATAATTCAAGGTGCTTTTCTTTCATGTGTGCGTAAATTACAGTAAATTAAAGGAGGATTTAGGAAAACTTTTTAAGAAATAACAATTTTAGGTAGGAAATTGTGAGGAAAATAACTATCATGCAAGCCAACGCCACGTGATTCTTCCATAGGCCCCAAGATGAGAGATCGATGCCCTGGTTTACCAAAAATTCTTCGCCAGTACATCTGAAATTCAACAAAAAGGGAATATGGTTTTATTCTTGGCGGCTGCCAAACTTTGCTCAATACATTCACTGCTGTTTAAACAAACATACAGATTAACTAAGTCCTTAATCATTATTCCATCATATATCTATATATATACCTATATGAATTATTCTCCAAACGCTGCAATGGGGTTAGAATAAAACACATATTTTAAAACGATGAGGAAGGGCACTGAAGTTTAAGGAAATTGCCCAAGTATCTGGCCTTTCCAAATTCATCTGCCTCCAAGTGGAAAATGCTGCTCTCTTCCAAGGGCAGACAGACTTCAAGTAGTTTTGCAGCTTACCACTGGTGGAAGAAAACGAGCAACCAGAGGGCATCTATGCCCTTGACTGAGATAATCAAGGCTTTTTCTAGATATAATAGCCACCAAAAGCCAATACAACATCAATCCAATCTAAGACAAAGACTAGAGGATTAGAATTTAAAACGAGGAAAAGAAGAGGTCAAGTGTTTCTGTTGGGGCCATCCTTTGTCAGTTCTTGCATCAGGGCCGCACAGAGCATCACCGATAGGGGGCCCAGATAGTCCCAGCGCTCAGGCTTACGCCATGTGCAGCAACTGGAACAGAGCGGAAGGGCCTGGCCTTGGCACAGGCTAGGAAACTACCTCTGACTAAACCTAACACAGCCAAAATTATTGTCTGGTGTCATTCTCTGTGTGACTCGAAATACAGCAGTTCTACGTTCTACAGAAGTAACTTCTTCCTTCATCGGAGGAGGAGGAAGCCTTGACTTATGTCACCATGAAGCCTATGGAGGCTCTTCCTTATCCAATCCCATTTTTCCCGTACCCTTCATCCTGTCCAAGGAGCCCTGGTGGTGCAGTGGGCTACATGTGGGGCTGCTAACCACAAGATCGGCAGTTTGCAACCACCAGCTTCTCTGACAGAAAAAGAGAAGGCTTTCTGCTCCCACAGAGATTTACAGGCTCAGAAATACAAAGGAGCTGTTCTTCGACTCTGTCCTATTGGGTCGATGAGAATGGCAATGGACTCAAAGGCAATGGGTTTGCGGTCCATCCTGTCCACCGAGTTGGTAGTGTGTGTTTTTACAAAGGAGCCCTGGTGGTGCTGGGCATTAGACGTTGGGGCTGCGAGCCACCAGATTGGCAGTTTAAACCACCGGACTCTCTGCAGGAGCAAGATGAGGCTGTCTGCTCCAGAAAGATTGACAGTCCCGGAGATCTTATGTAAGGTTGCTGTCAGTCAGAATCAGCTTGGTGACAGTGGGTGTTGGTTTTGTTTGGGGTATATATTACAAAGATAACACAGACATCACACACAAATGGGGCTGAACAAAAGACAAGCTTTCTTCATGGAGATCTTTTCCAGCAATAATTCAAAGCAGTGATTTGCCCCACGAATAAGAATTATTTCTATTCCCATGAGAGATTCTGGACATTTGCATTTTTCCCCTCCAATTAACTAAGGATCATTAACTTCAAGTCATTAACAACAATCATAGAAAAGGAAGGTGTTAATTCAACTGGCAAAACAATAGTCTCTAATTTTATTAAAATAGGCAATTCTGTTTTAAAGACAATACCAAAAAAAATGGGATTTCTTTCTCCATCTACTGTTTCTTTAGAGGACAACTCTTTGAGAGGCAGGATAACAAGTCTATTTTTCAAAAGAAAGCAAAGATTTTGATTTCATGTTGTCTTCCAAATGCAGAGGAGAAAGAAGAAAGTATCAGGATCTTAACAGAGGCCTGGTGGTTATATGTTGGACCACTAACCTCAAAGGTCAGCAGTCTGCTACCATCAGCCACTCCAAGGGAGAAAGATAAGGCTTTCTACTCCCATAAGGAGCTAACAATCTTGGAAACTCACAGGGGCAGTTCTACCCCGTGTTATAGGGTCACTATGAATCTGTATCTATTTGATAGCCATGATTTTGTTTTTGCTCTTGTTTGGCAGGGTGGTGGTGGGGTATATGCTGTAGGCCATTAACTGCAAGGTCATCAATTAAAACCCACCAGACATTCCTCAGAAGAAAGACAAGGCTGTCTACTCCTATAAAGACTTACAGCCCTGGGACCCCTTTATCACATCACTGAGAGTTAGAACCCAGCTTCAGTGGGTTTGGGTCTTTGGAGTAAATGCCACTGCTGCTTTTCAGGTCCTCCGACTGGCCAGCGTGGGGCTGAAGGGTATCCACATGCAGTTCAGATCCAAATGAAACTCCAATTGGTTGAGTCAATTCTGAGCCTCAGTGGCCTTGTAGGAAACAGTAGACTGCCCCCACAGGCTGTCCAAGGCTTTAAAGCTCATGGAAGCACACTGCCTCATCTGTCTCCTGTAGAGCATCTGGGTGGGGCGTGGGGGATGAATTGCCTATTGTTTGGTTGGCAGTTGGTAAGGTCTTTAAGCACTGTACCACTAGGGCTGCTCTCCTAGATCTCTACAAGGAGCAGTATATAAGAAACGTTTCCTCAATGGAAACATACTTTTCTTCAATGTACAAAGACCTCGTCATTCGTTACACAGGGCAGTGACTGATTTTATGGAGGAGTAAACTTGGGCTCTGAGAAGAGTTCAGTGATCCTGAAAGAAGTCAGACCAGATCTAAGTGCAGGGTCCTTTCTAGGGCAGGCTACAATAGTCAGCAACCCCATATAATTCTTAAGGTACACTTACATTGCGAAGTCACAGGTACTGTTTGTTGTTACATTTAAACCTGGGCAGAACTGTTGTCCCAAAAATTCATTATATTCTAAAGCCTACAACAAAATGGGTAGAGAGACGAAAAGGTCAACAGGCTTACATTTCAGATATTTCCAAATAGTTATCAATCATGATTATTTTTACTGTTAATTTCATATACTAAGTTTCACATTCACAGACTTGGTCACACCATAGCAATTAAAAGTATTTCCCCTGGTAATCAAAATGTCAACAATTGAAATGTTGGCTTCTAATACCAACAAGACAAAGTACTGGACAAAACACTGGCCCTATTCTCAATGTTGTCATCCCCTAAATACTATAATGAAATAATATATAGGTGCTGTTGAGTTTTGAAAATAAAAAGGAGTCTGAAAGAGCAAGATCAGGGCTATAGAGTGAATAGGATAAGGTTTTCCAAGGAAATTCTCGTAGGACAACCCTTGCTACCATCGAAGAATGAGCAGGTACATAGTTGTGATGGAAAAATTACTGAGTCATTTTCCTAGGGTTTTCCTAACAAATATGGTTTTCCATTTTTTTAAAAAACGGTCATCATAATAAAGCCCCATGATGGCTTGTGTCCTTCTAGAAAATCTATCAAGATGACCCTTTGACACCCTCCTTAACAATCGCCATACCTTTTGAGCTGAGCCCTTGGCCTTGAATTTAATTAGCCCAGCAGATTCCCTCAGAAGCCACAGTTTTGATTGGGCTAAGACAAGTATATTATGGAGAGAATTTGTCTGTAGTCATCTGCTCATCTCAGAGATATGTTTTGTCTTCAATACACAAATAGGTGCATAGTATCAATGTTTTCTAACTTACTCTGGTACTATATTAAGATAGTTTGGCCATCCTGAAGGGACTCCAATCATGTTCCTTTTAAATGTCCTTTGTGTTTTAAGAACAAAACGAAGTTTGAAGGGGCAAGAGCAAGGCTAGAGGGTGGATGGGATATGTACTGTAATATAGAATCTTATTGTATCTTCTTCAATATGAAAGTCTATATTTTCACCTCCCATCTTCCCATTCATTTTCTATCTCACTGAACCCTAACAATAGTTTTTTTTTCTTCAGCAATCACTGAATTTCTTCTTCACAATGAGTTATCTCCCCACTCTGCACTTCCCTCAAACAACAACATGGCAACTGCGGAATACTACCAGTGATGATGTTAGACAACTAGGAAAGGTTTATTCATTGTTCCCAAGAAGGAGGCTCCTGAAGGGTGGATCTTCGCAGCTCATGGCCAGCGTCAAAAGACAGACTTTCTTTTGCTTGTGCTTTGCTTAGAACCCAAACTTAAACACACATCGCAGTATCTAGACACAGAAACACTTACCGCAAAGCCATATCGAGGAATGCTTAAGTACTGAAGCCACGAGAGCCAAGGCACAACGGTTGTGAGGTTTACCAACAGCCCTGAGAACATCTGTAAAAGGAAAACAAACACCCAGAGTCAGAACTGAGCGGGTCACCCTCGGAAGCATCGTGAGGTGGTGGCTGTGCAGCAGAATGTGCTTTTCCAGCTCCCTTGCAAATATGCCTGCTTGAAGCCAGCTATTTCTGGAAGTTCTCTGCATTTAATCAAAATACATGGCATGCCTTCCTATTTAGAACACGTACAGAGTTGGGACTGTCTATGGCTTGAGACACTAGATTCATCATCTTTACTTTTCCCCCCTGTTCTCTGGAAGCTCCTAGTAGTCCAGGTAGACCTTCACCTTTCTTTGTGCCTGCACACAACGGAAGGTCAGTAAGTAGTGAGTAGCCTAATGATGAAAGAGCCCCTCAGTGGGGCAAATGGTTAAGTACTCAACCACAAGCCCAAAGGTGGCTGGCTCTAACCCACCCAGGGGTGCCTCAGAAGACAAGGTTGGCAACAGGCTTCTGCAATGCCAACGCCTTGAGGAGCATTTGGAGCATTTCTACTCAGCACACAGCATCCCCGCGGAGTCAGAACGGACTTGATGGCAACTAACAACACACGTTACACCTCAGCAAGCATGGTTCTCTACGAACACATAACAAAACACGTCCCAGCCCCTTCTGATTCCTGTACCTCAGTAGGGTTTGCCTTGACCATGGCTTGCATTGTATCGCTGCATGATTTTAAGAGTAATTTGGGCTTCAGGATGCAGGGCTAAGAAGCTCACAGAGACTGGAACTGGTGCAGAGCAACTAATGGTCCACAGTCCTGTTGCATAAACTCGGTCAATAGGTTCATCTATAGCTATCAAGAAATAGTACCACGTTGGAGATCCCAAGACGGCCCCTTCCAGCAAAAGACTAACAAGTACTATGAGATCCACAGGACACTTCTCATAGCTGGCACTGGTGCTAATGGCTCAGATGGTCAGTTGCTAGCAGAAGGCCTACAAGTCAGAGTCCACAGAGGTGCCCCACAAGAAAAGCCTGGCGACTACTCCTGAAAAATTGGCTGCTGAAAACCCTACGGTGCCCAGTTCTACTCCTGACACACATGGAGTCGACTGAGTTGAAATCAACTGATGACAACTGGTTACTAGTTTTAATTATTACTAGTCATGGTAGCACAGTGGTTACCTATTGGGCTTCAATCCACGAGGTCAGCAGTTCAAAACTACCAGCCTTTCCAAGGGAGAACGATGGGGCTTTCTACTTCCATAAGCAGTTACAATCTCAGAAACTCACAGGGGCAGTTCTAGCCTGTCCTCTATGGGTCAGCAAGGACTTGAAAGCAGTGAGTTTGGTTTAGGGATGTTTTAATCATTGATGAAGGACCATTGGTGACACAATGGATAAAGTGCTCAGCTTCTAAATGAAAAGTCAGGGATTCAAACCCACCAGTTGCCCTAGTGATGAGCTCCAGTAGAGATTACAGCCTAGAAAATGCTATTGGGTAGTTCTGCTCTGTCCTCTATGGGGTCACCATGAAACACAATCAACTCAATGGCATACAGCAACTCAATGGCATACAGAGAGGGTCTGTCACGGGGCCTTCCAGGCTCTGCTCTGTTCCAAATTCAGGTAAAATGCCCAAATAAGCACCAAGAAAGTAAATCTATCTGCCTCTCATAAACTGAAGTGCCCGTTAATATACAGAAGCAAAAACCTGAAATTTTGTGAAATTTATACTCTAAATAGAAATAGACTGAAAATCCATGATTAAACTTCTAAGATGTTAATTTCTGGTTCAGAAAATAAATCCTACCACCTGACATAAGGAGCAGAGCTCTTCTAGGATGAACTCTCAATAAATAAGAAAGAAAAACAGAAGACACACACAGCAGCCATATAGGACCAGGCATCCAGTGACAAGGTTGCTGGTGAGATTAGAGGACTTTAAAAAGTTCATGGAAAAATCCCCTTATCTTTCAACTCCATTTTCCACTTCTTGAAACCCTGAAGCCAAGTGCTTAGTATACAATACACAGCATCTCTGAGAAAAACATAGTTATGACTATTTTTAACATTCTACATAGAATCCCTTAATAGCTTATCAGTACATTAATTATATCAATGTTTTTATCAACAAATAATTGATTCAATGACATCATAGAAAACAAACGATCTCAATAATGTCTGTCATGAGCTCAACAATGTTTAGATTGGTAATTTTCAAACTGGCATGGAAGAATTAAACTTTGGGGAGAATTGTACTGCTAATAGTCACACAACTTAAGGAATGTAAGCAAACTGCACATATAGAAACTGAATCAGCATATGATTGGCTGTGTGCACATCCCAGGAATTCAAAGCCATCTGAGGCCAATATTCTCAACAACAAAATCAATACACCCTGTTGTTGTTAGGTACAGTCTAGCTTCTCCTGACTCACTAGTGACTCCCTGCACAACCACAATGCTGCCCGCTCTGGGCCTTCCTCACAATCATCCTCACAGTTGTGGAGCCCCTCGGGGTGGCTGCGTGTCAACCCACACTCTGCTAGATCACTTCTCTTGGAAACAGGCATGCCTATGGCTCTCTTCCAGGCCAGCCAGGTAACTCCACATCTCTTGGCAAAGACAATGAGTACTTCCAGAGCTGTATCTGTTTGTGGATCAATCTCCGTTGGTATTCTCAATCAATTCCTGACGCCTTGCATTTGGTGAATGCCTTCAGTGCAGCTGGGAATTCCCGATCATCCGCCACCTCTTGAAATGGCTGAATATCAACTAGTTATTTTTTGGTACAATGACCCTATACATTCCTTCTATCTTCCTTTATGGCTTCCTGCATGCTTCAATATTGTGCCCATAGAATCCTTAATTTGGCAACTTGAGGGTTTGTTTTGTTATTGTTGTTGTTTGTTTTTTCAGGTCTTTCTCCTGGATAAATGCTAAGCATGTTCTTCCACTTTGGTTTTCTATATCTTGATATTTTCACATTTCATTAAAATACCTTATCCATAAATGCCGGTCTTTGAAGTCTTCCGGTCAGCTCTTTCACTTCTTCAGTTTTCATTTGCTTTTCTGTGTTCCAGAGCAATTGTCAGTCTTTTCTGACATCCTCTTTCCCAAATGACCTTTGCTTTTTCGTGTCTGTTGTCTTTGCTGTCAGCCACAGCTCATAGGCTCTTTGCTCGTTACGGTTCATTGCATTACATCTCTTCTTGAGATGCTCTCTGCATTCAGGAGGGATATACGCTCATGGAATTGTTCCCATTTTCTTCTTGGACTTGGACTTGTCTATGAACAACAGATGGCATGTTCCATCATCAGCCTCTGACCTTGTTCTGATTGGTGATATTGAGCTTCTCCACACTATCTCTTCCTTCAGTCATAATCAACTTGATTTTTATGTATTCCACTTGGTGATGCCTATTTTTGTAGTCATCATTTATACTGTTGGAAAAAAGACTGCTCTGACGTCTAAAATGCAGCAATCATGCAATCAGGATACACTGAAATGACTAATAATTGGGGTGCCAAGGTTGAAAACAAAGAAGGAGGATCAATCGTTGGAAAATAAGGCTCTGGTGATAGAAATGACGCTAGAGATTGCATGATATTATTTTGTAAGACTGATGACTGAACCAATAGGAATACACGCCCAGTAACAAGGAAAATGCAGGGGAAACACAGTAAGAGGGGCGATATTTATGGGTCATGTAAAGTCATTCAGTCCTACTCCTGTTCGAGCAATAAAGGTGCACAGTCAGCAAATAGGCTAAGCATGCCTGTTTTTCCTGTAGTCTGAGAGAAACACAGTCACTCTCTCGCTGATAGGGAGCATGTAAGGATGACAGCCAAGAAAACCCTATGGGGCAGGTCTACTCTGTTACATTAGGTGATTAGGAGTCAGAATCCGCTGGACAGCCTCCATCAACAAAAAGATTCAAGAAGTCCCTGCCAAAAATGATTGGCAAAAATATCCTGATATGAGCGTATCAGGAACCCAGATAGTGTTGCAAGTACGGGGTGGGCCCATGACACGCACATTCCTGTGTCTCACAGAGCCTAACTTTCACTTGGAACGTAGTACATCCAACCATGCACCAATAATTCTCCATCATGAACATGCAAGTCAGATAACCAAACTGTCATGTTTAAGAGTGCCTCTTCCCATCAAACCTTTTCTGCTTTTTGAAATGTCAGAGTCCCATTTTCAGAATACTCAAAGAAAGTTTGACTTGGTACGTGAATTGGGGAGAGAGAATAATGAAGAAAAATTACTCCTCAGAGAGAAACAAGTTCCTACTTACCATCATAAACACAAAACAAATGGTCATAAGCAGGGTCGCTATGGATACCACACTCTGACCTGCTGCTATGGCCAGCCCCATGGAACTGGCTGAATAAGCCACCATGATAAGAGTGAACATCATGATGAAGAAGGCCGCTGCTGTGGGTTTCAATCCTAAACAAGGAGGAAAAGAGGGAGGTGACCCAGCTGCTCAATGAAGCCTATATTTTGAATTGTCTACTACACAGATAAGACAATATTATGTGGAGAAGTGAGTAGTCGAGTAAGGAGCCCTCGGGTGCAGGGGGTTAAGTGTTAGACTACTCACTGTGAGGTGGGTGGTTCACACTCACTCACCACTCCTTGGGAGAAAGTCGAGGCTGACGGCTCCCATCAAGGTTTACAGTCTCGGACCCCGACGAGTAGTTTTACTCTACCCCATAGGTTCCCTAAGAAGCACTGGTGTGTAGTGGGTAACTCAATAGGTGTCACCATAGGGTCAGCAGGAGCACACTGCGCCC